GGGGGGGGGGGGGGGGGGGGGGGGGGGGGACAACTACCAGGGCAGGAGGGGACTCCAATATTCCCCTCATGACCAGCCAAGCTCTGGAGGCCCCCATCCCCTGTGAACAACTGCCGGCTCTATGCCAGGCACCCCGGGGGTGCTAATGTGTCTGAGATTCAGCTCCTGCTCTCGAAGAGCTCCTAGTCCATTGGGAGAAACAGTCGAGCTACAGCATCTGGCTCAGAAGGTTTCTGTCACTACTGGCTGTGTGGCCTGGGGCCCTTAACATCTCTAGGCCTCAGTTTCCTCACTAATAAAATGAGGAATAATAATATCTACCTTGTAGGGAAGAATTAAATGAAATATTAATGGGAAGCAGTTAGCATGGTGCTAAGTGCTAAATAAATTTATCACCATCAATCACATTGTTAATCAAAGTCCAAGATGTTCTAGAAGCACAGGCAAGGAGATTGGAGCTTTGCCTGAGGGAGTCTACAGGGTGAGATGGGGGACTGGGTCCTGGGAGGAGGGCAGGGCAGTGGACACAAAGCTATTCTTGTTTACTCTGAGGAAGTCCGTGCGTGCGTGCGTGCGTGCGTGCGTGCGTGCGTGCGTGCGTGCGTGCGTGTGTGTGTGTGTGTGTGTGTGCGTGTGTGTGTGTGTGTGTGTGTGAGAGAGAGATTTAAAGGGTCCTGGAAGAGATAGAGGAAGCAGAGCCCTCCCTTCCCATCTGCTTTCCTCCCTAGGAGGAGCAGATATACACAGACCAGCCTCAGCCTCCCAGGCTCCCCTGGTAGGATAATCAGCCTTCCCCTTGGCAACCAGGAGTTCTGCCTGGTAGAGCCTGCACCCCACATGGGGCAGCTAGTGAGGGTGGTGTGTCCATTTACATCCCCGCCCCCATCATTACTGGGGCATCTGCACCACTTCCTACCATATTCTCTGGGGGCATTGCACTCCTCCCCCGACACACACACACACACACACACACACACACACACTTTAGACAAATCCAACCTGTGGAAATTTGGGACTACTAAACCAGATGCATTTGGGAGATAATTATTCAACTTCACTAAAAGATAATAGAAAAAACACCAGACTATAGTCAGGTAACCTGAGTTTTATTCTTGTGTTTGATAAAACTATCTCTGTGACCCTAGGCAAATCACTTCATTTAACCTCTCTGGGCCTCAGTTTCTTCATTGCAAAATGAGTTGATAGAGATCTCTTGGATTTCTTCCAGCTCTCATACTCTAGGAGTCTGGGAATTATCAAATCAAAGGAGCATTTTGGAAAAATTTATTTGTCAAAAATTTGATTTACATAACCTCAGGAATGTGTATTGTTTTCAAAATTATGGTTAAAATTCACAGAGCACACCACACAGCATATACACCATCTCCAAGCCAACTACCACCCTGCAAGATAGATCTTTTTTTCATAGACAGAAAATAGCTTCACAGGTTTGTGGCTTGCTCAAAGCTAATACATTCCCAAACTCAGGATTTGAACTCAGCCTAGTCTGTTTCCAAGAACCACGCTGTTCGCTGTTCATTGCAGGGCTCCATCCTTCATCAAGTGCCGTATAGTCTAGTACCATCCAAGGCAAGGGGAGATGGTAGGGGTCTGGCTCTCCTGAGTAGACCCCAGTGGGCCCTGCTTTAGCCCTGGGGAGATAAAAGGGGAGGCAGGCCCAGCCGCCTGCTCCAGCCCTGGCTGATCTGGCCCCGCCAGCATCTGTCTGCCAGAGTCTCGTTTGCATATAAATGGCTTCTCTGAAATACAATTATGGTTTCTCTTCTCTCCCTAATGGAAGGGCTTTCACTGGTAATTAAACAGCTTCCTCAAAAAGCCTTACCAGCCCTGGCCCTGCTGCCCAGCTGGTCCCATACCATCCCCTGAGGGTCTGGCAAGGGCTTTGCTGTGTCCTAATGGACCCTTGGGACTTAGTCCCAGGAGGTGGGACAACACAGCCACCTCCTCCCCAGGAGGTCCGTTATGCAGATTAAGGCTGGGCTCTTTGGTCACTTGTTAACCTTCTTGGTCAGATCTGTCCCTCTGTGCAGCTTTCGGGAAAGGTGATTCCCCCAAGTGGTCTGTGGGGAGGGTGTCTTTCCCAGACTAGGAGAAGGGAAGGGAAGGCAAGGCCCCTGCTGCGGCCCACAGCCTGGGCCTGGACCTTGGCATAGGGCAGATGGGGGAGGGTAACAGCTCACTCCCTCCCCTCTCCAATGCCCACAGGGGCTATGCCTTGCTGCAGGTCCTTTCTCATGGGGCCTGTGTGGTTTCTGTCAGCTCCAGCCTTATCTCAGACCTCCAGATACTCTCCACCCTGACACACACCCAGCCTCAGGGGAGGGGGGGCCCAGGCCTTCTCCCAGGCTCCTGACTAAGGCTTAGGGCACCATGCCTGGGGGGAGGCAGAGGGATGGGGTTAGGGGCCTGTTTTCCTCCCATTCTTTTCCTCTCTTCAGTCTCCCCACTTTCTCCTTGTGGGCCTACTGAATGCCTTCTTTGTAACCAGGCAGGGGAGGCAAGTGATCAGGTTTGCCAGTGTCACCTCTCAAGGTTGGAGGCAGCCCCCTTACCACACTGGCCTCTAAGCCCTGTCATTGTCCCCACCTGGGCTGTGGCTAGGAGCTGACAAGTACTCAGGCTTCAGAGCTTGCCAAACATTTCTTACTCCTTGCCTGTGGGTGAGTTTCAGACCTGGGGCCTGGCCGACCAAGCCTGTGGTAGTTCGAACGAATGTTCTTGCTGGGGGCCTCACCCCCATGCCCTCTCTCTAAGGCTGAGGATGCCTGAACATTTAGGAGCTAGCCAGAGCTCTGAAGAGTAGGCTCCATTCTTGAGGGCAGATCCTGGCACGAACACTGATTTCCTGGGTTATGGCCGGAAGATGGGAGAGGCAGCAGGGCCTGTCTTCTCTGAAGAAGGGAGTGGAGCTGCAGCCTGGAGAACCAATGATGTCATTCCAGGCTGAAGGGTGGGATGGAGGAGCTGGGGGCTTGGCCCAAGGCCCAGATAGCAAGAGTGTGAAGGGATGTCCCCCTTCATGCTTAGTAGGCACCTAAGCATTCCCAGATTTTAGGGGGGATTCCAGATCAGCTTGCCCCCTCCTCCAGTTCTTACAAGGGATAGCCCCAACTCAAACTAGTTTGATTGTCACATCCATCCACTCACCCTCCTGCCAAGAGCATCTGTGGCTCACATGAGTCACCAGAATCCCATCCACATGTGTCCTACCCCACAGCTCAGGAAGGTTGAGGTAAACTGACCATGGCCACAGGGGATGGTGGGCAGGGGTGCCTCTATCCCAGGGTCGGGGGGTGGGGCATGCTTGCTAGTCTCTCCAGTTTCCACCTGCACACACCCTGTACACTCACTATACACACATTCTTGCCCACACCCTGTATACTGCCTGTACACATTCTTGTTACATGCAGTGCCCTCACCACAATGCCAATGCCTAGTGCTGCCTACTCACACCACCACCCCCCTGCTTTCTGGACGGACCTCCACCTTTCCTATCACCTCCCTTTCTCATCTGGCTTTGGAACCACCACATTTGTTGTGGGAGAGTTACTGGGTGGCTGCATCGGGTACTGAGGAAAGCCCCCACTCACCAGCGTCTCTTCTCCTCTTCCCAGGAGCAGTCAGGGCTTCATGCACATGAAGCTGTCCCGGACCAAGGAACACAAGTATGTGTTGGGCCAGAACAGCCCACCCTTCAGCAGCGTCCCTGAAATCGTGCACCACTATGCCAGCCGGAAGCTGCCCATTAAGGGGGCCGAACACATGTCCCTGCTCTACCCCGTGGCCATCCGGACTTTGTAGATGCGAGCCCAGGGCACTGTGATAGACCTGGACCCAGCCCTGTGCCGTCACCTGGCTGAGGGACATGATCTCGCAAACCTTTCTTTCCCTTTCCCTGGGATCTAGTAGAAGCTGGAGATTCCTTTATTTATTCTAAAGGGGAAGGGCCACTGGGGCCTTGGAATAAGAGGTTGTCTGGAGCTGAGCATAGAGAAAACCCTGGAGAGAAAAAACAGCCCCTGGAGGAAGGGAGCCCCAGAGCCGCTGGTCTCTCGAGGCGTTTAAGATTGGCAGCTCCAGCCCCTTTTCGTCCCTAGCGCAGAGGTGGCAGCGACCTCCTTCATCACCACCCTCTCCCCACTGGGTCAAAGCGGGGTGGAGCAGGACGCGGGCCCGCGGGGCGTCCTGACCATCTCTCTGCCTCCATCCCCTCATCACCGGAGGGCTCCGCCCAGAGGATGGTGCGGAGCTTGGGGAAGGCAAACCCCTGGGATGGAGACGGCTTTGGGGGCGGGGAGAGGAGGCGAAGGGCTCGGGCCGGAGGGAACTGTGAGGTCCCCGGGCCGCCCCGGCTCCGGGCCAGAGGCAATAAATAAACCCGATCCTGCCAGGCACAGCCGCGTCCGGGCTGATGGGGTGGGTGCGGGGGGAGCGGCGGAGCGAGCGCAGATTCTGTTTATAAATCAGCTGTGGAGCAGACACAGGCCGGCTGCGAAAAGCACTTTCGAAGCATCAAGTTGCTTTCCTTGACGAGATGTCAAAACATCCCCCACCGCCCCCGCCCCGGCTGAGGGCACCGGGACCCGCCGGCCGCGCGGCAACTCCTCCCCGCTGAGTCGCGGAGCGCGGCTCCGTCAGAGCGCGTCCAATTTCCTGCCGACAGCCATTTGTCTGGGAGGAGGGGAGACGCGGAGAGACAAAGAGGCAGCGCGCCTGGCAGGAGCTAGCGGAGCGGCCGCGGAGGCGGCAAGGCTGGCGGGGCGCAGGCGGGGGTCCTCGCCCGTTTCCTTTCCAGAGAAAGCGGGCCCTGCGCGCCTCCTGCATCCCCTGACCGATGAGTCCGTCCCCTGGAGGCCGGTAGCCTGCGGGTCTAAGCCCAGATTCCTCAGTCTCTTGGCTCCGTGCTCGCGGCAGAGCCTGGCGGGGCCGGCCGTGCGTGCCCCCTGCTGGTGGCGCTTCTGACCACCAGCCCAGGGCGCGGGACCACACCCTCCTGCGGTCCTGGCTACGCCCCTGACGGCGCCCACAGCTGCAACCCGCTGACCCCTGTGGGCCCAGCCCCCGAGAATACCCACTGGACCGCCAGGAGGAGCTGCTGTCAAACCGCTCCAGGCCAGCCCTCTCCTACGGGCAAACTGAACAGAAACTCCCTAAGGGGTTGGACAAAGCCTCCAGGGCCTCTTCCAGAACCTAAACGTGCAACTGCCAAGTGTGTGTGAATCACAGGACTTGAAAGTTTCTAATCCAATGGCTATTTTTTCGAAATTGAGGATATGTGATCTGACAAATGTAGGTATTCTTGGTGACAATAGAAAGGATCACTTGAAATTGGGCACTGTTTCAGAAATTCCCTCATAGAGGGTTACCTTATCTTTTTAGGTACGCTTGGAGAGCATTCAGACATTTTGCAGATGAGAAAACAGGTTCAAAGAGGTTAGGTGACATCATGTCACCTTGCTGTCATCTCGCTGCCTGGAAGACCCATGTAGGCTCAGGTGCCCAACTCTCCCATTGCTCAGAGAAGGGCTGGGAGTAACAAGTCCTGGAAGAAGCCAGGTAGACTCTGGCTTCCTGTAGGCTCCAGCTGGGTCCCATTCCTCCCCTCTTCTCTTTGCCCAACCCACCTCCTCCAGAACCCCCCACACCCTCTCTCCCTCCTCCTCCTGATCAAACTTCAGAGGCCTCACACTAGCCACCCCGAGAGGCCCCCGTCAGGAAGGGAACCCCTGGGCCAAGGAGGGGTCTCCAGCTGGAGCACTTGGCCTTGGGCAAGTTCCTTTATTCAATGGATACTGGCAAGCTCAAAGAGATGTCTGGACCAGCCTGGTGAGCTGGCTAGGTGAGTGGTTTCCTTTGTCCATGCCCCACCCCATGCTAGGGCAGAATAAAGAAACCTTGAAGGTGGAAAAGTGATTTATTTGTAAAGACTATTGGAGCAGGGAGAAGAGGATTTAGGAGCACTGCATAGTTAGGTATTGGGCCAAAGTCTGTACATGTTTAAAAACTTGGGAGAGAAAATCAACTGTGCTGCTAGACCAGGGTGCTATGGGAGTTTTTGTAAGTTGCTTGCTGTGGGTCCAGCCTCTTCCCTCTCCAAGGCATTTGCCAGCCCTTTTGAAAGTGGGGAGCCCAGAAGAGGGGGAGGTTGGGGGGAAGGGAGGGTTCTAAGATGCCCGCATCTGTGCTCCCACTTCATCCTTAGGCTCACAGCCCTCTGTGCACACACACACACACACACACACGCACGCACACAGGCACACATGCACACACACACACATTTACATTACTTATAAGCTTGTCTTTTGATTTTTTGTTCCTTAGCCTAGAAGAAAAGTCTTCACTTTGCCCCAAACCAATAGCTTCCCCCCACTTCCCAACCTCTAGTCCCTAGAAAGTGCCCCCTACTTCTCCAGGCTGAGACATATTCTAGGCCTGGAAGTCTCGGAGCCCACACATGGTGACTGACCATGGCCACCTGGACCAAGGTTGGAAGGTAGGAAGGGGGAAAAGGCAGAGGCAGCCTGAAACAGGAAGTACAGAGGTGAGGTGTGGGCCCAAACCTCTGCTCAGCTGGGCAGTGGGTACAGCCCCTGGGCAGGGGGCCTAGAAGTTCTCATAATGGTGGGAGAAATGAGTTCGGTCCTGTCTGTTGATGAGCTGACAGGCCTTTTCCACGTTCTTGGTCATGCCAGGGGGGCCACAGCTAAACACCCCAATCTTCCGGACCTGTTGCGGGAGGAAGTGAAGGCTTGTCCATTGCTCAGAGACACAGCTAGTTCAAGTTCATAGTGAGGGCTAGCTCTCTGCTTATGTTAAAGACCAGCAAGAGCCCATGGTGAAGGCTCATTCAGTGCTCGTGATGAAGGTTTGCCTCGTACCATGCATGTGAGGGCTGGCTCAGTGTTTTTACATCTGGCTCAATTTTGGTAAGTGCTAGATCAGTGTTTCTAACAGAGGCTGTATTAATCAATGTTCACATTGAGGGCTAGCTCAGTGTCTCATTGAGGGCTAGCCCAGTATTTATGACAGTAGTGGTTAGTGCAGTGTTTGTGATGATTAGCTCAGTGTCAGGGGTGAGGGCTGGCTCAGTATTAATGGTGAGGGTAGCCATGAGTTTATGGCCAGGACTAGCTCAGTCATTCAACTCTTCCTTCTGCCATCACATCATGGCTTCAGAGGTGGCAAGTCCCTGCTGCCTGCCTCCTTCCTCCCTTAGCACCTCAGGGTGACTCCCGCCTATCCTCTTCCATTCCATTCCCCCACCAGTCTCCCAGGGGATGGAATCTTGTCAGCAGCCGATTCCTTCTCTGATGGAGCTGGTTTGAGAGCTTTGCTCAGACCCCAGATGATACAGGTGAAGAGACCCAGATATGGGGTAGGACTGACCTGTGGGTGGACCTCCTGCAGGGAGTTGAAGAAGGGCTCAAAAGGTGGGCGGCCAAAGTGGGTGACAGAGCGCAGGCCTGTGAACAGGCTCCGGTTCAGCACCTTCTGGAAGTGCCGCTCGCAGATGTACTGGGGAAGGGAGTGGTGGAAGAAGGTCACAGCCAGAGTCAACCCCTGGCAGATGGTGGCCCACCCCCTTCCTGGCCAACCCTGACATACCAGCATGGTGGTCCTGAGGTCGAACTTCTCGGCCAGCTGGGTGATGTAGATGTGCACAGACACCAGGTCCTGGCGGTCATTCTCCTCCACCTCCCGGATGATGTCAGCCAGCCACTCAAACTGCCGCTGGGTCCGTGTCACCCAGATGAAGTAGATCTGGGGACACATGGCTGGAGCTTGGGACTTGGTTCGGCTCAGGGTCCCCACATCCCCGGGGTCTCCACACTGACAGAGCTCTTCTGACCTCAACCAGCTGTGCCTCTTCCCATACAGCCAGGGGAGATGGAGTGTATGGGCCACAGGGCCAGGCTCTGAGGCCAGAGATGGAGCTGCCCCGGGTCATGGAGAGGTGGAGCCTATCTCAGCTTGGGGCCTTGCCAAAGGACCCTGAGGTTTGCTGGGTGAGAAACAGCTTTCTCATGCTCAGCCTGTCCAACCATCCCCTCCAATGGGCTCTGCTCAGGCTGCCCATAGGGAGAGGGTCCTGCTGAGAGGCATTTCACAGAGCAGGCTCAGGGAAGACCCAGCTGGCTGCCTTGAGGATGGGAATGGGTTCAAATGGAGACCAGGGGCATGGAAGGACCAGGGGGCAGGGGGAGGTCTCCAGCTTCCGAGGAGGAGAAGTAGGGCTGGGGGCGTTAAGAAGAAGAGGGAGAGCTGGCACGGACAGTGGAGAGGAGGGGAGCTGTCACCTTCTGAGTGCTGACTGTGTATGGGCTGGGCCTCTGCCCGCTGCATTCCAGCACCCCTGACTCACCTACCAAGCCCAGAGAGGCGAGCAGGGGCCTGCCGCCAGGTCCAGGCTGGGGTGAAGGGCTTGGCATGGACGGGGCCTGAGGGCTTGGGCTGTGTTCCTTGCCAACCCAGCCCACCAGCCCTGCCTTGCCACCTCCCCTTCTCTTCCTCTTGAGAGCTGAGCCAGTTTTACTCATGCCCCACCCTGAGCATACCCTCCCTCTCCCAGTCCAACACTACTCCAAGTGCTGGCCTCCTCTGTAAAAGGGAGTGGATTCCTTTACCCCCTCCAACACTGCCTGGAGGGACTCCCAGAAGCAGATCTTCTGTGGAGCACCCCATAGCTGGGGGAAGAAGCCTTTTTGCCCTTCAGGGTCTGGGACATCTAGACACCTGTCTACCCCACCCATCCCCAGGTTTCAGGCCACCTTGCCCATGTCCAGATCAGGGAGGTCAAGAACAGAGGCAGGAAAGAGAGGCCCAGGTGGACACCATAATGGGCAAGAGGGGGCCACGGGCTGGTACAGACAGGGGGCACTCACCTTCTTACAGAATACTTGGCAGCTTACTGATGACTTGAAGACCAGGTCTTTGAGGATGGAGGCAAAAGGGGTGACCCCAATGCCCCCTCCCACCAGCACTGACACCTCAAACTTATGCCATTCCTGGTGGCCCTCTCCAAAGGGTCCATCAAGGTACAGCTGTAGGGAGAGGAATGAGTTTGAATTAAGCTTAGCCACCACCGTAGTTCTGAAGACAGAAACTTTATGGAGTGAGGGGGAAGAGGGAGGTTGTGGCATTATCTGGAACAACCAGCCTCTGGATGGGGGAGGAAGGAACACAGAAGGGGGTCTGGTGCCACAGGGCCAAGCCCTGCCAAGGAGGTGTGGCTGCATGTGGCTCATCTGGTCTGGGTCTGGGCACCTTCGGGTATCGAGCACAGCTGTCACCCGTTGCGGGTGAGTAGATCTCCCTGAGGCGAGTGGTCCAGGGCCCCACAGCCCGGATGTGCAGGCTGAGCGTGTCCTCATGGGGTGCAGAGGTCAGCGTGAAGGGGTGGTACTCGGTAGTCCCCAGAGCCAGGCAGGCGATCCGCACCCATTGTCCTGACTTGTACTCAAAGCCCTGGGGCCGCTGGAATTTCAGGTGGGTCACTCCTGGGGAGGGATGGTGGGCAGGAGGCTGCTGTCCTGAACTCAGCAACAATGTGGCCTCCAGAGAGGTCTCCCACCCACAGCCTCAGCTCTGCTTCTGGAATATGACAAGGGTGGCCTACCCCCATCCTAAGTGCACCCTGAGGAGAGGCTGGTGGGCAGCACTGGGGCTGGTAGGCAGCAATGCAAGAGGCAGCCTGGCCTGGGCTCCTCCACTCTGTGTTAAGAAAGGCTCAGGTGCCTTGGGAAAGAGCTCTTCTACCAGCTTCCTTACCCCTGCCACCCCAGGCCCCTGCCCATCCACTGGACCAGGCCAAAGGACTATGTGGTCCAGGCTCTGCTCCTGCCCTGCCAGTTCCCTCAATGTCATCAAGCGGGTCCCCTGACAGCCTCCAAGCTAGTACCTGAAGGCAGCAGGTCTGCCTTCACCACGCTGATTTCCACCTTCTTGCGGCTCAGGCTCACCAGCTTGTCCCCCCCATAGATAAGTGCCGGGACCAGGAAGAAGATGTGGAAACGGGGCAGCTGGATCAGAGCGAAGCTGCCGTGAATGATGAGCTGGATAGAGCAAAGAGTACAGCTCAGACCCAGTGACACCCACAACAGGGCATGGGGCCAGCTCAGGCCTCAGACCCACATCCTTCTCCACAGTTATATCCACCCCCACCTCCCTATGTACCATGCTTCTTCCAGGTTCCAAACCCAAACCACTCCCAGCTCCATCCTCCAAATAATTCCATGACGAATGAGACTATTTTCCATCTCCCTTGACACCACCCTGGACTAAGCCACGTTGACTCTCACCTGGATTCATGTAGTAGCCTCCTAACTGGTCTTCCACCGGTCTTGCCCCACTGTAATCCAGTCTCTTAAGGCAGCCAGTGTGACTTTTAAAGTTCATTTTACCATGTCAACCCCAGCTTTAAAAGCTTTAGTGAACATCCCATTGCACTACAAGGCCTTGCAGTACTCGGACCTCTGCCTGCCAGCCATTTCCCCCTCCCCATTCCTCAAATGTGGCAAGTCCTTTCTGCTTCAGGACCTTTGCACCTGCTGTTCCCCCTGCTTGGAATGCAGATGGGTCCCTGGGGTCTTCCCATGGCTGGCTGCATCTCATTCTTCAGGTCTCTGAAGTGGCACATCCTCAGGCGTTCCCTTAGTCCTCTCTATCATGGCTCCCTGTCAACTCCCTTAGAGCACTTGTCATCATCCACAGTCGTTTTGTTTGTTCATTCACTGACATGTTTATTGTTGTTCTCCCCATTGGACTGAAGCGCTAGGGACTGTTGGCCACTATCCTCTCAGTTCCTCGCAGTTTCTGCCTGGCACTTGGGAAGGACTCAATAGCTGATGAAGAAAGGAGTTTCCCTGGTTTATCTTATCCCTTTGGAGGCTGAGAACACCTAACTAGTCCCCTTTTTTCATGAAATCACTGATCACCCAGCTCTGGTCCTTTCCCTAGTAAGTTTGTCTACCGTGGCCAGACACTACTTGCCCCATTCTTCCTAATCACTTGTTCCTGAGTCTGGGTCAGTCTGGCTTTTGCCTCCACCTCTCCTTAGGACCTGCCCACTGTGGGCTCACCAGCCCCACGAATGGCCAAACCTCACCGTCTCCTTTCAGCCCATGTTTACTCTCACTCTTGGCAGCCTGTGGTACTAGTGACCACCCCTCCTGCCACTTCTGCAGCACTGCCCTACTGGTTCTCCCTCTTTGCCTCTTGGGCCACTCACTTTCCATCTCCTCCTCTGGCTCCATTCCTTCTGCCACCCATAGTCACCGGGTGTTGCCCAAGACTGGTTTCCTCACCCTCTGTTCTTCTCTTTCTATGCTCCGTGCTCCACCATGTGGCATGGCCTCTCACCTGAGCCAGCCCCTCAGCTTCGGTGGAAGCCCCCACACATCCACCAGCATGTCCTGCCACCACCAAATGCCCTATGGCCATCCACAACCAGGCCCGTCTCCTCTGTCCCCTGAATATCCTATGACTATTCCCACCTCCGCACCTGTGCTCATGCCCTTCCTTCTGCCTGGATTGCTCTTCAGCTTCCACTCTGCCCTGTCAAAGCTTAGCTCACCTCTCCTAAAGTCTTGGCCCAAGTCCCATCTTCTTCCCAGAGAAGTTTAGCAACTTTAGCCCAAATGAAAACTCCCTTCCAAACTTACTATTTGGAACACTCCTCCCAGCAATTATTCATATATCGTGTGTTCATTTTTGTCATTTCATGCGTGTGGCACTTATCTCTGCAGGAAATCCTAACTTCCTAAGGGTAGGAGTTAGAGCCTCCCCCTCCTCTGCTGGGCCTCACACAGAGCTGGTACATAACAAACTCTCAGCAGATATTGTTAAAGTGAACTCTGGCCCCTCATTCAGAAACCCCTTCTCCCAGCTCAGTAATCCCAAATTCTTAAAACTTTCCCCAAGTATTAACTTGAACCTCTCTGGCTCTTCTCCAAACTGGCTCTGCCTTCCCCAAAGTTCCTCTTTCATTGTGGAGCCCACACCCACCCCAAAGGCTTTCTGATCATCCAACCAGGCTGAGCACAATGGCAGGTTGACCTCATACTACTCTATACACCCCATTTTGTGTTGGCTTTACTTTTAAGCTACAAAGCTGCTGCAGATTCCTGGTTGGGTGAGAGGCTGGGGTGGTGGGGGCAGCCAGCCAGCTCAGCTTCTGACATGCCAGCGCTGACCTCTTCAGCCTGGATCAGGGCCTGGACATCCTTCCCCAGGATCTACTCTGCACTGAGATTCTTTACTTGTAACTTCTCTTTCTGACCAAAGTCAAGTGGCCATGCCTGGGATAAGTGGGAAAGAAGAGGGTGCTTTGGCCTTGATCTCCCCCAAGGTGAGATGCTTCCAAGCCACCAGGCTAGGACTGCCCAGCAGGGGGCCTGCACTTTCTGAGTCCCTGACAATCCTGCTCTGAACCCAGTGATGCCCACAGCCCAGAGATAAATCAGAAAGGGATGTTGGTCTTAGGGAGCCAGGCTAGCCGCTCTTAAATTGGGTCTCCCACTTATTTCAAAGAAGCTGCTTTATCACTAGGAACAAGAGCACCATCTCCACCCCCCACAGAAGCAGTAGCCCAGGATGCTAGAGTTCCACCCATCATTGGGAAGATGGGGAAGGGAGGAACAAATTAGCCACAGCTTCCAAAGAAGGGAAAGATTTCTTCAGAAACAAACATCTGCAGTTCTAGGAAACATACTGAACAAAGGCTGGGTAGTCATCTACAGAACTATGAAGTGCTGAGTCACAGGAAGATGTGCACAGACCCTCCTACCTATCAGTGAAGACAGAACTGCACCTGGGAGGAGGCAGGTTAGGCCACAGGAGCCAGCATGACCGAGGCAATGGTGCACTCTCTTAGTCTCAGGACAAAGGAGACTCCTACATGCAGTTCTGCCTGGAGCCTGGATAGGGGGCAGCCACATGGACTCTGGACTCCTTGAATGATGACAGCCATGCCATCAATAGGTGGGGACAGCTGGGGCCTTGGGACTTGGTTTAGCTTCTCAGCGAGGCCCTCAGGGTGCCCTCTGGGGAACTGCCTGTGTCTGTGAAGAAGGCAGGCAAGCAGAGCCACAACACAAAGACACAGGTCAGAGTCAGCTCCAGAACTAACCAGCTGAAGCAGATGATGACAAACCCAGGGGACAGTAAAGGGAACAGGAGAAGGGAGGGAATGTAAAGGAAGGGACACAGGATCCCAGGTTAAGGAGAGGGAAAGGGGATGGGTGGAGTCTTAAAAATCCATTTTTTTTTTTTTTAAGATGATCGGTAAGGGGATCTTAACCCTTGACTTGGTGTTGTCAGCACCATGCTCTCCCAAGTGAGCCACGGGCCGGCCCCTTAAAAATCCATTTTATCAGCAATCCAAATGAAGACATTTTGAGCATTAACTTTACAGGCAGCTAGGTGGTATGACTTAATGCCCCCCAAAACAGGACCAGAAAAGAAATAGCAGAATCCATCCAAGACAAGTTTCTCTGAAAAGGGTATTTCTCTCTTGGGTGCAGACAGTCCACCCAGGAGCCAAAACCAGCCACCCAAAGTAGGAAGAGACTGGCTGGGCAGAAGCAATGTGGAGGTGTCTGCGAGGAATGCCGATCAGCCTGGCAGGGCTGCTACTGAACAGCCCACACCAGTGAGGCCATCTTCCAAGTGCTGTATATTGGGGTCAGCCTTCTGGAGAGACCCATACATTAGGGCGATGGAGAAGAGAAGAGGATACTTGAAGTAATTAAGGGGATCGATAACTGATGTCCCAGCCCTCACTGCCTCCCTGGGAACGTCCTGCCCATACCCTGCTGGCCTGGCTCACTGCCAAAAGCCCTCACCAGGACATAGAGCAGGATGTAGAGGTGGTGGGTCAGCCAGAAGCCCCGGAAGCTGCGGCGGCGGAAGTGGTGGGAGGCGAAGACGTACATGATGGCCAGGACCAGGAGCAGCATGACCCCCGTGAGGCCTGCAAGGTGAACATGGGGATGGAGGACAGAGAAGCAGCGCCTTGAAGACGGGGGCTGTTCCGAAGCTTCTGGGGTCAGGTCTCCTCTCTCCTCCACTCCACTGCCCAGAGTGGAAAAGCCCCCGCATCCTCTGCTCCTCTCCTCCCACACCATTGATCATAAGTACCTTTCATTTCAACAGACCCTATGCATCCTTTACAGCCCTTGTCACTGTGGTCATTTTTTACTCCATGTCACTACTTGTTTTATGTCTGTCACTTTTCTAACTCTCAGGTTCACAAGAACAGGGACTGGGCTAAGCTAGTTCACCACTGAATCCTAGTGCCCAGTGCAGGGCCTGGAAAACTGTGGGCATTATATAAATGTGTGCTGAATGAATGGATGCCCAGGGCGTCTACTCTGGGCCCTCTGGGCCAGACACTGGAACTTGCAGGCCCTGCCTTCATGGAGTCCACCTGGCTGCCACAGCACACAGCATGAGCACAGGCACCATTGGTGGGTGAGTAGGATCACACTGTCCCTGCTCATCACCAGAGCCCCCAGATCTAGCCTGGAGTTGTGGGAAGCCCCTCCTCTCATGGAGGATCCCAGGCCAGGGGTACACAAGAGGATAATACTGGAGCCAGGTGGAGTAGGGGGACAGAGAATGGTTTCTCAGGTGATCAAGGAGGAGAGAAGCAGAAATCAGGAAGATTAGAGCCCTGCAGTATGGAAAAGTAAAGGTTAAGAGGGGATCTAATCAAAGCCTGTAAAGTTCTGAGCGGAGAAGAGTGCATAAACACAGCCTTATCCACTAAATCCCAGTGTTCAGGAATTAACAAGTACCCTCTGAAGTTCAAAGCAGATCATTTTAGAATTACAAAAAAATTTAAAACCCATGCTGTGTTTCACAGAGAGGAGTGAGTATAGAAAATGTGTTACCCAAAGGAGGGCACAGACTGAAAATATAAATAGGTTCAAGAAGAATTTGAACAGATTCGTGGCTAATAGCTCTAAAATGGATGATTGTAGGGTGTTAAGAATATGCCCCTTAATAGTCCTTGCCAAGACATACTACAAGGGCTGGGGGACTTGTATCTGGCTTGGCAAAGAACCTGGTCTCTTCTGCATGCAGGTGGGGTATAGCATTCCTTAAAGTCACTGTCATAGTAGGTGTGTGTGCTGGGGAAAGGTGGATCTACTTCCATTTCACTGAGAACTAGTTCAGAATACGGGAATGAACCCAGCTAAGCTCCTGAGAGGAGGACTGAAACACAGAGCCTCCCAAGTCTCCTACTGGCCTGGAGTGCCCTTGGGGCGAGAGGGCAGAGCCTGGCTCTCTGGAGTGAGTCTGGGCTGCCCCGTGACAAATGGAACACAGAGCTTAGAGCTCGGAGTCAGGCCCAAAAGTTCGTGGAACAGGGAAGGCTCTCACCTGGAACAGTCTGGAAGAACCACCAGTAATATTTTTTGGGAAATTCAGACCTGTGTGGAAGGAACAGCAAGGAAGGACCCTGAGAGAAGACCTCTGGGACTCCCAGAGGGGAAGCCACCAGCCAACCCAGCCACCAGTTTCCCCTTCTATTGACTTGGGTCTGGGGGCTCAGGCTGGTGATGGCCCCACAACCTGGAAGGTGACACTCTCTTCCGGGCCAAGAGAATTTGTTTCTTTCCTCCTGCAAGGAATCCCCCCCAGCCCACCCCCACATGCACACACAAACACACTCACACTCACCCGTCGTCATGGAAGAGGCCAGGGAAGAGGCAGGAGAGGACGCTCAGTGGGCTGATGGAGAACAGGTACACATTCACCACATGGCCCACACTGTGTAAGACTAAGGGAAACCAGACAGGGGGTGGGGAGATGTGAGCCTGAGGACAGCCCAGTGGGGTTGCTCGACCCATTCAGCCCAAGGTGGAGGACTCCTGGACAGAGTTGGGGGCCTGAAGCAGCAGCCTGGCATGTGGACTTCTGACCTCTAATCGACCTGCTGGCCTCCCCCACATCTCCTACACACACCATCCTTGAACACAACTGCATGAGTCTGAAATTATACCTTTAGAAGCTCATTCCTTTGGTTTCTCTTACAGAGTTAGTTATGTTCCACAACATAAAAACTGAGAGAGATAACACATTATGTGCACTCATTCTGGGGTGTTAGTAACTTGTCAGCTGGAGGCTGATGAAGTGCCCTCCGAAGTGTGAGCAGAGGCACTGGTGAGCCCGTGAGAGGCTCCTGGGCTTACTTCACCATGGCTGGGGCCAACTCCATCCTCACAGAGAAGGACACGCAAGACTTACATTAAAGTTAAGTGCAGGTAGAGAGGAGGGGGGCTCAGAGGAGGGGGGCTCAGAGGAGGGGAGCAGCAGGGGGCGGGAGGACATGGAGAGAATCCCCAGAATACCCAGGCCCTGCCTGTGAGGACGATGGCTGTGGAAGCAATGAGGCGGTGGAAGTCCACGGCGGCATCGAAGGGCACGTAGCGGTTGAGGAAGGTCTCTCGCAGGAAGGTGATGAGGTTGCGGCACATGGTGAGCAGGAGGTAGGAGTACATGAAGGAGATGCTGGCCGCTGTGCCCCGCGACAGGATGATGCCCACGCGGGTGGTGTCCGTGATGCCCACGTGGTGTGCGGCAAAGGCATAGTCTGCGGAGGGGGCCCAGGGAGCGCCGAGCAGAGAGCTGGTCAGGGATGTCCTCAGGGGCAGGGCCGCTGACACTCACGCCAGGCCTCCCGCGCACAGTCTTTGCTCAAGCCGGCCCCGCTCGCCCAGTGGCGACACCCACGGTAGGCCCCGCCCCCGGGGCTGTCACTTATCGCAGGCCCCGCCCCCGGGGCTGTCACTCACAGTAAGCCCTCTCCAGGAACAGCCCCCCGGCGGTGGCGTAGAACACGGCCACGCAGCCGACGTGGCGCCGGTGGTTCTCGACGAAGCGCTTGAACTGCTGCACCGTCTGGTGGAGACGGCCGCGTTGAAACTTCTCCCGGTGCGCCTCGGTGAACAGCAAGGGCTGGAAAGACGTTACCCTGCGACACAGGAAGCCTTAGCCCTCGGCCCCCATCAGACCCAACGTGGGGAGCCCCGCCTGCTTCTCGGAGGGGAGCCGCTGAGCGGCGAGGGAAGGGCACCGAAGTGACTCACGCCGAAGGGGGGTTCAGACCCCAGAGACTGTACCGCACTCCATCAACGAGCTGTCGGTGGAGGCACGGCCTCCCTCCCGAGTGGGCACTCCATCCCAGGGGTACAGTGTCCATTCACACGCAGGCAGCCGCCTCCCCTCCTCGTCTCTGTAGCTGCCAGCTCCCACCCAGCGCTTGTGGTCAGCCTTTACTGGAGGCCCAAAGGACACCTTCATGAAGGATCTCTGACCTCCCAGGCAGACGTGAGAGCTTCCTCGAGCTCGTCGCTCTTGCCACTATTATAACATTCATCAGTGGGACAATTATCAGTGAGCCTGCCTCTCTCATCAGACTGTGCCGTTCTAGGTAGGGACTGTTCATCTTGCCTGCACCCCCAGTACTTGGCACAGTGCCTGGCACCAAGTAATGGAGGTGTGTATGCTGAAGGGAGGAAGGAACCGCCTGGGCTTAAGGGGAAGAGCAGGCGTACTTCTTGCCAAACCTCCGTCGAATCTCCTGGGGAGGGTCTGTGTCCATGGGGCACTGCAGTCTCTGTGGTGTCAACTCGGTCTTGACATCACTGCGGGAAGAGCGGGTACTCATTCTGGGAGAGGGACTAGGACAAGAACGGTGAGAAATAGGACCTTGGCCAACCTCAGCCACTTGGTCCTCTGCTGCCCCTGGTCTGCCTCCAAACCCACTCCATCAAGAAAGGATCAGCATGATTCCCACCGAGACCCAGCTAGTGAGTCAGATCCTCAGTCCCAGCCCAGACCACCACATATGCCTGTGCCCTTCACAAGGGCATTGGGCCCAAGCAGCAATCGAGCACTGCAATCCAGCAGGCTCTCTGCTTGCCCTGGTGCAGAGCTGTGTCCATCTGGAGTAAGGGGTGCCTTTTTCTCATTTGTATGAAGGCACTACACGGCTAGTGGTGACCCTGATTCCAGCCATTCTGAGGAGAGAAATGGCTACTCCTCTAACCCTCCCTCCAACATTCCCAAATAGGGTCTCACCAAAGCTTCTCCTGGCTGATGTAGGAGGCTCGCCGGCAGAGGTCCTTGATGACTTCAGGCACCTCCACCCCTGCAATGCAGAGCCCGGCTAGGGAGCTGCTCAGGGTCCAGAACCCAGAATGCACAGCACCCCTGCCTTCCTATGTTCAGACATTGCACAGGGTCTTTCCCTGTCCAGTAGAGGCCCTACCTTGGGTGCCCCAGCCTCAGCCCTTTTCCCCAATGGGAGATGGACCCAGCCATAGGTGGGCAGGGAGAAAGCCTAAGACATAGCTGGCCAGGCAGGCTTCCCCGAGAATGTGTCCATCTTCAGTTCCATTCCTGGAGACTGGTATCAGGTCTATGGGGGTAGAGTTCAGGAACGGTATGTAAACTGCCTGCTAAGCCTATTCTGCCATACACACACACATGTGCGCACACACACATACACACACACACACACACACACACACACACACACAAACCCCTAATTAAGTTCCTCCAGCTTAAAATCTTCCAAAAGTTAAATGTAGAATCTAGGTGGTAGGTACATGGGTGATGACTCTAAAATTCTTCCTACTTTCGTGTTTGAAAATGTTCATAATAAAATATTGCAGAGAAAACCCTCCCAGGAGCCACCCCATTGTTACTGTCTGGGCTGAGCATTGAGGGCGGGGCAGGACTGAGCTGCAAATCCAGGAGGCTGAGAATCTCCAGTTTACTTCCAAGTGCTGAACCAATCCTAAAGATGATCCTGGTCTATACCCAAGGCCAAAAGCAAGTGAGCTGAACTAAATGAAATCAGTGTTTAAAACAAAGTATAGACGTCTATACTCTCAAATGGTTCAGTGAACAGTGGCAAAACAGTAATAAATGGCACATCTAGGTGAAAGAGATGTTTCTTTGTTCTAATCTTGTTTCTTTTGTGGAGGTTTAAAATCTTTCAAAATAAAATCTAGAGGAAATAATAAAGCACAACAACAATTAAAAGCAAAACAAAACGATACTCATTGATAACCTCCTATTTAATCCATAAGCCCTGGTCCTACCCTTCATCCAGAGCTGAATGTCCCTGGGATTCTGTGGCCTGGGCTCACTCCCAGGTACCTCCCTTGCCCCTGCCCTCCAGCTCAGGGGTCTGCTGCCCTGATTGCCTGGGAAAGGTAAAAAGGTGCAGAATCAGGAGTAATGGGTTTCCTCTCTACCAACTCTCCTTACCCCCAGGGCCGGCAGAAGCCCGGACCAGAGGCTTATCTGTGTCTTGTCTAATTTGGCTTCTCTCCCATCAAGGCTGCTTAGTCCCCACTTCTCATAATCCTGGGAGGGGCTAGGTTGGGTCTCAACATGCCACTGTGAAAATCCCAAGCTAAGCCACCATAACAGCTCAGAGCAGGCCACAGACAGACCCCCCTGTCTGCTCCCTGCCCCCTCCCCACTCTGAATCTACCCCCTACCCAGTGAGTCAGACATGGGTGGGGCAGAAAGTTGGGGGAAGGCCAACAGAAATGGGTTTTCATGCATTCAGCAAACACTGAGCAGGAGACAGAGTAACAAAAAACCCCAAGAGACACCACCCTACCCCTGTAACCAGACACCCCAGTTGAGAGGGGTATGGCTTGGGTAAGGCTGTAACAAGGGGACACTGTCTCCCCACCTCCTGTCCTGGGCACCAGACATAGGGGGCTTTGGCACAGAGCCAGGGGAAGCAGAGTTCTAGCCACCATTCCCCACCCCATCCTGGTCCTACCGACCCCATCAGCAGAACTGCATTATGATTTTGGTGGGCCTAGGCACATTTGCCTTCTTGGGCCTCTTCCTCCATAAAAATAAAAAAATAAATTAAAAATTATATTTTACAATTGCATTGATGTAAAGAAGAATATAGTCCAAGCTGGATAACTTACTACATATTCATTATTATTACATTCATTTTTTTCTTCTGATTTTAAAAGAAATTAAAGCATTTCTGTGGGCTTCTAAAAGTATTTGGGCATTGTACCTACTGTGCCTAATAGACAAGTCAGCCCTGCCTGCCCCGCTGCTGCACCTTTGACGCAGAGCTGTGTGAAGCGGAGCTCACTGTCGTGGTCCCGCAGCATGAAATGGAAGTCCTCCCACGTCAGCTCCTCCTTGTCCTGGAAGCCCGACTCCCGGAACATGGACTCCACCACCTCGGCCAGCTGGGCCTTGGTCAGGCAGTTATTGGAAATCTCGATGAAGGACCTGGGATTGGGGGAGAGGTTCCATCAGGCCCAGACACAAGGGCCCACTGACTATCCCACCAGGCCTCATCGCCACATGAAAGGGCACTGACTGGCCAAATCCCAAGCCCCCTACCAATTATAACAAGATCTGGTCACACGGGTAAGGAGGAGGCCCTGCTACCTTTCCCCCTCGGTCTCTCCCCTGGCAGGCCCTTCCCTGGCCTACTCTCCTGGCTGTCTCAGAGGACCAACCTCAGCATCCTGATGAACTCCTCCTTGGAAATGAGACCATTCCCATCAAAGTCGTACATACGGAACATAAGGCGAGACTTCTCCTCTGAGGAGCCTAGAAGAAGGAGGACCCCATGAGTAGAACCCCAACCCGCCTGCCTGAACCCCCAGGCTGGCCAGAGGGGCCTCACACCAGTATGATGACCCACTGCTGGACACAGCAAGGGGTCGCTCTGCTTCCTGCTCCTACCTGGGCACTCCCACACATCTGCCAAGACTGGAGACCTGGCTTCAGAGCTTCCCATCTCCAACAAGTCAGCCACACTCCAGCTCAGGACCCAGCCCCTATCTAGCCTCTCCCATGTGGATGATCATTCCCTCCTCCCACCTTTCATGAAGACCACCAGGATGTCCAAGAACTCCCGGAAGGACAGGTAGCCATTGCCATCCTTGTCAGCCAGAGAAAACATGGACTCCACAAACATGTCCTGCGGCTTGAGGCCCAGGGACTCAGCAAATTCAGCCCTGCTCAGCTCACATGTCAGGGCCTCCCGCACCTTCTGGGATGAGTCCAGGGGCAGAGTCCCTGCATCCGCCTGGTTGATGTCCAGCACCTGTACTCCAGTAGAAGCAGAGGGAGCGAGAGGAGGAGACAAGGCTTTGTTGATTTGAAAGCCCATTGAGCCTTGTAGGAGCCACCTTTTCAGGTGGCTTCCCAGCACTCCCTACCCTAAGCAGTTCCCTACCAGCTCTGTGGTTGGTCTATGGGGCCATATTTGTTCTACAGAGCCCTGGCCCTCTGCCATAGCTGATTGGACCAAGAATACATACTTGACCCAAGCTGGGGATCTGGAATTGCAACTAAGAGGTCCCAGGTCTGTCTTGACCTGAGCACAAGAAGACTCAGAGTTGTGGACCCCCCTCTTCCTCCAAGTGCTTAGCGACACAGAGACAGAATAGAGCAGAGGCAGAGAAAACAGAAGCAGTCTAAGAGAGGAGTGGTCTTGTCTGCTGATGGTTTTCCCTTTCTTGGTCCCTTCCAGGCTCGGCTGAAGTCCTCTCTTTGGAATTCCTGAGACACTCCTGTATCCTCAGAGTCAACTGACCCTCTATCAATGCTAGCTCAAGTGGGTTTCTCTCATTTACACCTAAAAGAGTTTTAACTAAGACAAGACTTCCACTGGGTTGAGGAAAAGTTGGGTTTGGGAAAGGGGAATTCTCATTACAGGCTATCTCCACCCCATCCAGGGGCTGCCCAGCATAACAGAAAGTAAAGGCAGCAGGCAGGCCACAGGCCATGGTACCTGTCTGTCCTGTCTGTCAACTGGGGGTGCCTAGTCCAAGCCTGGATATGGTTCATGAGGTAAACCTCACAGCTTCAAACAAGGTGCTTTGGTGGAAAGAGCCTGGGGCTGCAGGCAAGAGACCTGGGTTCATGTCCCAACTCTGCCACCTGCTTGCTGCATGACCTCAAGCACTCTCTTCAGTTGTCTGGGATTTATTTCCTCACCTGCCCTACTTTTCTCACAGGGTTATTGTGAGAATCAACAAGAGAGGTTGTGTGGAAAACGTTTTGAAAGCTGAAAGCACTGTGCAGATATAAGGGACTGGTAGCCACCCCCAGAGTATAGCAGCCTGTTCTGTCTCTCAGCACAGGGAGTTCCCATAGCCCTGATGGATCCCGAACTGAAAAGAGGTGCCCAGGTGCTGCCCAGGACCTGGCAAGGAGTAACCCCAGCTGAGGGTTCCTCTGTTCTTGTGAATACTCAAGTTCAACTTGTCTGGGGACTAAATGACCTTAAGTCATGTGCCTAGCACAGAGTAAATGCCCACTGAAGGGTAGCTTCCCTGTGAATCCTCTCCCCAGCCAGCCAACTATGCTCCTTCTCCTGAGACTTAACTTTTTGCCCTTCCATGGAGTATCTCTGCTCAGTCCTTTCCGCTCCTTTCTTCTGAGCCAAAACTTTCCTAACTTTGAGTCCTTGCCAAATCTCACCTCCACCGTGACTTTATACATGCTGAGGCTCACTATCTTTTCTAAACTTCTGGACCATTTATTTCCTGGGCCACTTCTGTAGCCCTCATTCTCTGCCAGTTATCTCCCTTTCTGTGCATGTCCCATCTTCCCAGTGGAACAATAAACATCTTCAGTGGTGGAACCATGCTGTATTTCTTTTATCTACAACATTTCTGCACTCCACAGCTCTGCTCCCAGGCTGCCTTTATTTTTGTGCCAGATGTGGACTCAATTCCTTGTATTTTACTTCCTATCTTGTTTCCCCGTATCCTCCCAATAGCTCTCAGAAGTCTGCAAGGTGGACATTAATGCCTCATGGAGGCCTCTAGCAGCTGCACTCCCCCAAGGAAGGGTGAACAATGGCTCTCACTGCTCCTGCAACAGCCTGTCTCGCCTTTGGTTTCTGCAGCCTTTTGGGCAGGTTGAGATGAGGGAGGGCAGAAAGCCTGGGCAGCCGTGGGAGGGGGAGAGATAAGTGACACATGCAGATAAACCCATTCTTAGGCATCACCTCCCTGGAGTCTCACAGGTGGAGAGGGAGGGATTCAGAAGGAGCAGGGGCATCTCCTTACAGAAAAGTCAAGTGACTTGCCCAAAATTGCAGTAGAGCTGATTATTAGCTGAGAACTCAGGGCTTCTGACTTCCCCTAGAGTCACCCCATGGCCTCACAAGGTAAGGATACCACCAGAGGCAGACACACAAGGGCAGATCTGATCCCATGTACACACCTGGGAGAAAAGGTGCCTGAAAAAGGTCTCTAGGAGATGGCTCCGCTGCTCCCGCGTCACAGCTGCCCTCATCAGCTCCTGCTCCCGCAGCTCCCACTCCTGGAAGCTCAGCTCACTCTCCTTCAGAGCTCCCCGAAGGTTTTCCACCAGTGCCTGCCGCTCTTCCTCCAGGTTAAATATTAGCACCTATGGGCTCAGAAGGAGCAAGAGCAACCATTTGTCGAGGCCTCTTGAGGCTAGGCATGTTCCACAGATTATGTCAAAGGGACTACTAGAGTGGCCTTGCAGAAGAGATACTGTATCTCCTTTTACAGGAGAGGAAATGGGCTCAGTGGGGTTAACTGGCTTGCTTGTAGGTGCAGAGTTAGCGTTCAAAACTGTTCTTCCTTGATACCTTACTGGAAAAGGGAGGGAAAGGCAGGGAGTCCAGAGGATGAAGGGGACCATAAGCCAGGCAGAGTCAGAGCCCGAGATCAGCCTCTGATTTGGCTCTCCTCCATATTCTCTAAAACTTTACTAGATCCTGAAACAAGGGGACAGGGAAGAGGGCTTAGCTTCTTCCAAGTACTCCAGCTAGAACCTGCCAGGGCATCCTTAGAAAAGGAGGCAAGTTGTGTCTGCAAGAGTAAAAAGGGACTGTGGAATCATGTCATCCAGCAGGTCTAGAGTAAGACAAGCGCATTCATGTTTATCTCTCTAGCAGGTACTACAGTCAGGGACTAGAAGTCAGAAACCCTGCCTCCTGGCACAGGGCTCCTTCCCCTCCACCTGGCTGCCTCCCTGGCTGTGGCTGTGGACAAGGAGCCAGGGGCCAGCTGAGCCATACCAGGTCATACTCCTTGGGGATCTTGAGCAGTAGAGTGTGGCGTCCATGGTTGTTGGACAGGATGAGGTTGACCTGCTGCGTGGGCCGCAGCTGGATAGTGCGGAGCACAGTGAGCCTGCCGTCCACTACACGGATCTGCCCGGGCTGCAGGTGCACTAGCACAGGCCGGCAGGGCTCCTTGTGACCCTGCCATTCCAGAGCTGGGGAGAGAAGGATGGGGCTGGGTCAGCTGGGGCCCACCCAAGGCACATTGGGAAGAAGAGGGGCAGTTCAGGGCTGGAGTCAGATCAAGACCTCCACAGTGCTTTGTTCCCTTCTTGGGTACTGAGGATCATCCCTTCCTCTACAGTCCTGTTATGCCTAAAGTTCAGGAGAAGAACAGTCACTACCATTTCCTGAATATTCACTATGTGTTCAACACTATACCACACTTTGCATGAACTATTTCATTTAATCCTAAATCTATGAGGTAAGTGTATTATCATTTCTATTTTACAGATGAGAAAAAAAAATAGGTTTAGAAAGATTTTAAAAATCTTTGTAAGGCCCAATAGCCCATGGTGGTGGAACCAAGATTCCAATCCCAATCTGACTCAGGACCTTCATTAATCACTTCTCTGTTGCCTGGAATTCCAGTGTGAGACAACACAAAGCAGCACTTCTTGGGGATTTACAAGTCATAGTAACCCTGTGAAATCTAGGCAGGGTCCTATGCCTTCTCCACATGAACCTACCACATTCCCTTTATTTGGGACCACTGAGAAGAACAATGGAGGTTGGAGGACTCCAGGCCAAATTTCTAGCTAATGTCACCATGACATTTCCCATCTGCCCTGGCCTTGCCTATAGCCCTAGAAAAGGGATGCCTTTTCCTTAGGTTTCTGGGATAGAGATGGGGAGCTGTAATCCTGAGCCATGTACTCCTCACCACCACCCTGGCCGGCCCCACGCCTACCTTCCACACCCCCCTCAAGCTTCTCAGACATGATGCTCTGGCGGTCCTGGACTTGAAGCCTCTTGAAATTCCTCATCCGGAGCCTGGCAACAATCCAGGCGCTGAGCAGGCTCACTGGGAGGGCAGAGGCAGCAGGATGTTCAGGGGAAGGTGGGGGTTAGAGAAGATGGAAGCAGCTCCTTTCCTTGGCAGGACTCCCTGCTTTCCCTACCTCCTTAGTCTGCCTGCTCAATCATTTGAAATTGTAAAGGTCGGGCCGGCCTGTGGCTCACTCGGGAGAGTGCGGTGCTGATAACACCAAGGCCACGGGTTCGGATCCCATATACGGATGGCCGGTTTGCTCACTGGCTGAGCATGGTGCTGATACCAAGTCAAGGGTTAAGATCCCCTTACCGGCCATCTTTTAAAAAAAAAAACAAAAAAAAGAAATTGTAAAGGTCCCTGGGGGGAGATGCTTTGCATCCCATGGGGAGTTTTGGGTAGCATCTCAAATGCCTGCCCTGCTTCCACTGCTTCCACCACTCAGGTCCCGTCCCATCCAGACACTAAGTCCAGAGTCCTCATGCCAGAGACTGGTTGACCCGCATACAGCCTTGTCAAAGACTAAGTCCCAAGCCCTTGCCCCAACAACTACCTCTGCCCCAGCCCTGGTTCTCAAGCAGGAATTTGCCTCTGACAGTCCTCCAGGCCCTGGCTCCTGGAAAATGCTGTGAATTGTGGGCTCCCATGGCTCCTGACCAAGTTGAGCTCCAGGGGGCAGAGGGAGGAGATGGCATCTTAGGAGAACAGGGAGGAATTTCTCCCTGGAACTGACTTATCTGCAGGTCAGACATTTCTCGTGTCCCCTCGTCCAGTAATGCTTCCTTCACCTGCCCAGAGGGACAGTACTATGCATGTTTTGTTGTCATAAATGGAACCACCCTAACCCCACCCCCTAGCTTGTACCTCTCACCCAGCCCCACCCTGCCCACCACTTTTACCCAGCGGGAAGCAGCAGAGGGTCCCAATGGTGACCCCAAAGCCAAATCCACTGCCCTCAAAATAATCCCGAACGATGAGGGGAGTACAGGCTGGTAGACCTTCGGTGCTGAGCTGTCTTGGCTGAGGGCAGGGGTCTCCTGGGAAGGCAGAGGAAGCCAGAGTCCTGAGTTCTGGGCCACAGGTTCTGGCACAGGGTCTCTGAGGAGATTTGGGTTGCAGAAAGGGGGTGGAGGTGCTCTGGGTAGCAGAGGGGAAGAGGCTGCCTTGGGTAATATGTGGGGTCAAAAATGAGCCTCAATCTCTGTCTCAGCCTCACACACACACACACGCACACGCACACACACATACACACAGAGCTTCCCTCATCTCTGCTATGGCGTGGGATGGGATAGCCTCACTGCACCCAGCCCTCCTAATGTTACACCCAGCCCCAGTCCCATCCCAGCCACATGTAAGCCTCCTCACCAGGTCTCTCTGAGTCTTGGTCCTGCACTCACTCGGGCACCTCTGGGAGCTGTGCCGAGGGGAACCTACACAACTGTTTGTGGCAGCCCTGGCGCCCACAACCACAGTTCTCAAGGGCAGAACCATAGCCCACTCCCACTTGGAGGCTGCTGTCCAGCCCCACACAGCCAGGCCTACAGTTGAAGAGGGCCAGACTCCAGGCCCAGTTCCCTTCAGCTACCCCTTGGTCAGTCACCTGAAAGCCAGTAAAAGACATTGGGCTGTAGGGCACTGGGGTCCACATTGGTGACAGCCACTAGCACATCCCACAGGGAAGTGTTTCTGATTTCTGCAATCTCTTCCTCAGAGAACAGCCTAGGGGAGGGAGAAGTGGGGAGCTGTTGTGGTGGGAGAAAGAAGCAGGCCCCCAGACCCAGGGACCCAGATGAGGAAAGAAACCCAGAGGGGTTGGGAAGGGAGCGGTGGGCAGGCTGGGAATCAAGGGCCATGGGGGCTGTCTAAGGCCAGGCAGAGTGTCTGGGGCCCAGGCTGAGGTAGAATCTGAGCTGGCGGCCCAGGCAGGCCTTACCCATTCCTGGTATTCTCAAACCAGTAGCGGTCACCATCCCGCAGCCGCAAAAACTGGTCAAGGACAATGGTGCTGACCAGGGGACCGGGGTCTCCATGACTCTCCAGGAGCCCCCCTGGGAGCAGCTCCAACCGAGACAAGTCCTGGTGGTACAGGGCAGCTGTGGCCTCCAGCACCTGGAACCAAGAAGGGTCAGGAGTGAGTGAGAGGACCCATCCTCAGGCAAAGAGATGGTTCCCAGGGATTAGCCCCAGGGATAATAATAATAAATGACAGCAACAACACTCACTCCTATATAGTGTTTATTGTGCCCCAGGCACTGCTCTGAGTGTTTTACATAAGTTAACGCATTTATGGGAACCCTCTCACAGATTCAGCTGCTTACTTTATAATGTTGGAATAAAACAAACAATCCCCTACATAACTTGTTCTTGAAAAGGTATGAAAGTTGAAGAGGGAAACCAGAATGTGCAAAAGTTGAATGGTAGAATGATGTGTTATAAAAGGTTTCCATTCTCTAGAGCTAAAAAGTTTTTAAAAAATTTGGGGCCGGCCTGTGGCTCACTCGGGAGAGTGCGGTGCTGATAACACCAAGGCCACGGGTTCGGATCCCATATAGGGATGGCCGGTTGCTCACTGGGTGGGCGTGGTGCTGACATAATGTTGGAATAAAACAAACAATCCCCTACATAACTTGTTCTTGAAAAGGTATGAAAGTTGAAGAGGGAAACCAGAATGTGCAAAAGTTGAATGGTAGAATGATGTGTTATAAAAGGTTTCCATTCTCTAGAGCTAAAAAGTTTTTAAAAAATTTGGGGCCGGCCTGTGGCTCACTCGGGAGAGTGCGGTGCTGATAACACCAAGGCCACGGGTTCGGATCCCATATAGGGATGGCCGGTTTGCTCACTGGGTGAGCATGGTGCTGACAACACCAAGTCAAGGGTTAAGATCCCCTTACTGGTCATCTTTAAAAAAAAAAAAAAAAATTAAATGCCTGACAGTCTTCAACAATATGTCACCAGCATTTTCTACCTGACCTATGTTTTAGTTCTTTTCTCCATAAAGTACATAAGCACTTGACCAGGATAATTCCAATGAGGCCCAGTCAAAGCTAAAGATTTGCTACTTTTGATATGCCTGCTGATTCCTATCTTTATATTGATTTAATAAAGTTTACAAGCCCAAGGCACACACCACTTCTTTACTGGCCTTTGAATTCTCTCCTCTTCAACAATTTTATAAAATAGTAAAGGCCAAATGCAATAAAACAGGCACATAATTGTAGAAACACTGCTGTGGCAAGATGGGAAGGCAGACCAAACTGGTCTGTTGGCTAGCAGGCAATGCCACCAGCACAGGTGATAGTTCAGGGTATAACAGCTCACTCCCAAAAGGCAACTTGAATATCAGTGCATGAAAGCCCAGCTTGTTCCTAAGTCAAGGACTTTCTATACCTATTCAGGGGGTTGTCGGGAAGAGCAAATGAGATAATGCCTATTAAGTGCCTAGTATGCAATGGATGCTCAATAAACATTTGCTGGATCTAACAAAGTTGAATCCTGCTGGTCTGGTAATCTCCATCCTGGTATGTGATATTGAGAAAAGTAACATGGATGAGTCCTGCCCCTCTCATCAAGTGCTCACCTCTGGTACCCATGTCTCGCTGCCCATATTCCATGTCTCAATACAATGTGCCCTGGTCCTCCCACCCCATCCTCGGGGTCCTGACCCCTCCTTACAGTGCCATTGTTCCAGAAGAGTGCAGGGTTGATGTCCTGCCAGCGGGTAATGGGAGACAGGCCCAGTGCTGCCCTGGCCTTGTTATAAGAAGGCAGACCCAGATCCCGGCCCTGCTGCAGGCAGCTAGCCAAGTGGTCTGTGCGGGAAAACTTCAGTGGCCCAGGCCAGAAATCTGAGGATGAGATACCAGAGAGTCCGAGGGAGCTCAGGGCCACCATAGCGACCTCTAGCCCAGGCCCCAGGCTCCAGCCATCCCCAGGGGGACCTGAGCCACAGAGAAGGAGCCATCGTCAGCAGGTCAGAAGCTCTCTCAGCAGTGGGTCAGCACAGGCTCCCAGCCCTGGTGCCCCTCCATGCCTGGCTCTGGAAGTCCAGTTGAACATCCTCCCAGGGGCCAGAAGTCCACAGCCTGGAGGGCCAGCCTCAGCCTCACCTCGCACATCCTCAACCACCACATGGTCCTCTCGCTCAGCAATCTGGGAGGCCATGCCCAGCAGCAGTGCATCCACATCTTCAGCACTTTGTAGGTTTGGGTGCTTTGGGGGTGAGAAGAAGGAGGGGGCGTGGTTAACAGGGACAGAGGTTGAGCAGCCAGGCTTCTTCCACCCCATCCTCCATATCCCCGGCTCCACCCAGTCCTGCTGTTTACTTCCAAACTGGTGGGCCATTCCTCCTCTGCAGGTTGATTCCCTACTCAGGGTGAGTGATATCCCCATCCAAAACCCATGCTGCGGGAGACAGGTTTCTACAAGCACAAGGGACCTTAAAACTTTACTTTTATCTTAGGAGACTTGCAACGTAGTTGCAAAGGCACTAAAAGATCTAGGGCTTGATCCTTGCTCTGTTACTAACCAGCTGTGTGGCTTTGGGCAAGTCACAAAACCTCTCTGAACTCAGTTTCCTCCCTTTAATAAAAAGGGACTCAGATTAGGAGGATGCTGAAGCATCTTTCAACTTGCTCCATGAATCTTAATCTATGCCTTCCTCTCTCCTCTTCCTCCCCTTTCCCTTCCCTTTTATAAACCTACAGAAAGTATCTGATTTTGCTTTAAATTGGTAATTAATGCTGTTCACTCACACTGGCCTGGTTTGGATGGATAGACTATACCCCATAATCTCTCAGAACCCCTGCCCCCTCCCCCATATATGCATTCACACACTGCCCTAAGTGTGTCTAATTGGGAAGCTTCTTTGGTGGGGATGGCCGGGGTACTCCAAGGACTACAAGAGACCCAGAGCTGTCAAGGGAGAGGAAAAAGCTAGGAGGGAGCAATAAATGTAGAGCCACATCTGCAAAGGCCCTGCTGTCTTTCACTCAGCCCTGAGGTAGGGGTGGGGGATCGACTTTTGACCATGTGTAGCTACCTGGTCATCTCACATTTGTAGAGGAGATGGCTGAAGTCCCCAGCTTGCCTCCTTCACCCCAGCCCATCTCAGCTGCTTGCCTCAGCCCTACTGTTCATCTCCACCATACACTCTCAAACAACACACAAAATGCACACACACATATACCCACCCACATATGTACCCCCAACCCTGACCTCTCGGCTCCAGTAGCTGTTGCAGACCCGGAGAGCTCTGGAGACACTTGAGTTCTGATTGATAACCCCCTGGAAGTAGCAGCTGGCATTTCTGAAATGCAAGGAACAGGGGCATGGTGACTGAGGGAAGAGATCCTAATGTCAAGAACCAGGTCTACTCCGAGGCAGTAGTCAGGGGTCCCAGGCCATCACTTCCCTGATGTGGTGTGCGGTCAGGTCACCTGACCTAGGTAGGTCCTGGACGATCTGACTTTTGGAAGGTCCCTCCCCCAGTATCAAACCAAACATCTAAAAATGCACCCTATAGCATCTCTCTCTCTCTCTCTCTCCATTTTTAAAAGATTTTTTAATTGTTCTTTTGAAATTACCTATCTATGGATAACGTAATTGTCTGTAATTTCTCAGCCATCATCAGGCATACCCAGAAATTATTCCAGAATGAGAAAATCTAACCTATGAATTATTTTAAAGAATAATACAATTGTAAAAAATAAACCGACATGCTTTATTTCATATACATTTATTTAAATATGTCACTTTTTATTTTAAAGTCCCCTTTTCATTATTTTGGAGACAATATTTTTCTTCAGATTACACACATTTTTTAGAATTCCCCCCAGGAGCTTGTAAGGCCCAAGTGCTGTGCCTATAGCTAAAAAATGTCCCCAGTGTAGTGCCAAGACCTGAGTTCAGACCAGTGGGCTTTATGACACCCTGTGAACCTCAATTATTTTAACTGGGGAGATACCTACACCAGTTGCAGAAGAATGAAGATAAAAGTGCATAAACATGGTAATCATGTATCTTTAAAAAAAAAGCTATTGTTTGCCTTGTCCTCAATATTCTCCATTTCTTGAGGGAATGAATACACTTCAGACTGATAATCCTGTCCCCAAGGCTCCTGAGGTCAGATTTTTCTCAGTTGACACCTCTATCCCTCCCAACAAAACATTTGAGCCCCTCCCTCACCTCATGTAGACGCCAGGGGGCACCATGGTGGAGAAGAACTGCTCAGAGGCTACCACGAACTCCGGGGAGATGCTGGGGTCTAGGAAAGGACGGTACCCTGCAGGCAGGGGTAATAAAGGAGACGGGCTTCTTGCCCACACACCCTCCCACCACGTGCACCTGCCTCACTTCTTCCCCCTGCGGCTCCTCAGCCCAGGCGTCCCCCCGCTCCCTCACCTGCATACTCCGGGGGCGTTTTCTGCAGGAAGCTGG